GGCCGGCGCCGTGGCCGGGGAAGGCCTTGGGGCTGCGCCTCAGCCCGCCCGACCGCGGTGCCCGCCGTTTCCAGGCGTTTCCTCTCCTTCCCGCAAGGGTCGCCTCCGGCGTTCGCCGCGTCGCCTCCCGCCCCGGGCGCGGGCTGGCGCCTGGGGTGCGCGGCGGGAAGGGGCCAGCCCAAGCCGCCCGTTGGATCTCGCCGTCTGGGGAGACGGGGAATCTGTGCCCTGCGCCCCTGAAGTAACGCGCCGTGGCGCCGTCGGGGGCTGAGCTCCCCAGGGGCCGGCTGGGCGCCGGGAGCCTGCGGGGTGCCGCGTGCACCCCCGAGAGCAGGGCTCCTAGTGTCGCCCCCTCGAGGTCGCGCGGGACACGCGATCGCGCCCCTTCTCCGGCCGAGCGGCGCTGGCGCTGAGGGGACTGTGCCTGCCGGGCGCCCAGACTGGCCCCGCCAGCGCCCGGGCCGGCCTGGCACCGGGCGAGGCGGCCGCCCTTCCCGCGGAAACAGCCGAGCGCCGCCCGCGTGGCTGCGTCCAGCTGGCGGAGTGACACGAGGGAACGAGGCCGGGTGTGCAGGGGGCTAGCGAGGGCGGGACGCGCCGTGTTGTGAGCTGCGGGAGCGCCCCGGCGTGCGGCAGAGGTGTGCGGGCGCTGCGTGGCGCGCGGGAGCCTCCTTAAGCCCACCTGTGCTGCCGCTGCCAAGCAGGTCGCAGTTGGAGAGATTCGGCTCACAGCCATCTTGAGACAGTTGTCCCTGCGAAAAGAACCTAAGTGACCGGACTCCATGTTCACGTCGCTCAAGTTTCCTGAAAGGCGGAAGGCGAGCCAGTTTCTAGGGTGGTGGCACCAGCACGCCACTCTTGGCGCGGGGATGGCGCGCTGCGCGAAGCCTGCAGAAGCCGGCTCCTGTGAGCCAAAGCATTTGCGCAGACCGAGGAAACGGCCGGTGCTCCAGTCAGTGTCCAGCGGCTGCGGAAAGCCGCGCGTGGGGTTCAGTTTTAGCTGCTTGTGTTCTCGTGATCTCTTGGTGGGGACCTCAGCGTTTGGATGTAGCCAGGGTGCTGCGCTAGGTCCAACCTGGCTGCAGCCTACATTTCGCTCTGCAAACACTCCCCAACCTTTGTGGCCTGAGGGTGATTTTCCGTTTGTGTGAAGCGGTGAGCGTCCGTCCCTTCCATCCGCGCTTTGAACTCGGAGGCTCGCCATGCAGCGATGTAAAATACGACGCTGTCTCCGGATCCGTGGGCCGCTCAGTGACCACAGATTCCGTACTGTAGTGAGCAGCCAGCACGCCACAGTGTGCTTCTTTGGATGTTGCGTTTGGTGTGTTCACACCAGGTTTGCAACTGTAGGGTAATGTGAATATTCTGAGCGTGTTTGAGGTGGAGGATTAGGCTGGGACGGTCTGTTCTGTAGTTGGGTGCTGTTCCACACATTTGTGACTTACCATTTACCAGGACAAAATCCCCATTGTAAGTTCAGATAGAATCTTCGTAAGTTAAGATAGAATCTTGAACATAAAAGAATTAAAATCAACCTTCTTGGAGAATAATTAGACCTTAAGAATCCAGAAAATGTTAGCTTTTGCTTAAGCTTACGAATGTATACTTCCAGATTGTCTTATAAAATTCTAAAAACAGCTGGGAGCAAGAGGAATGGGAATCAGGTTGGAAAATAAGATTAGGAAAAGATAAGAAAAAGTGACAAACCAAAAATTTTTTGAAATGTGTGTGTGTTTGTGTGCGCTTCAGTGACAAGTTTAAAAATATAGCAAATACTTCTGTGGTACTGTTTTGAGCAAAGCTGATTTTTAACATTTCTTTCATAACACTCAGAAATCATTAACAATTGTTGGCATATTCATTTGATATGAGTTTTTGATTTTTTTTTTTGGTTTGTTTCTTTTCGTTGCTTTCTTTTAACATTGGTCATGTTCACCCTTTTTTTTCATTCCCCTGTCTGCAATCAACTTCTCCATCCCACTAAGGCTGGGCACAGAGTAAGTTTCTTCTCTTAGCTCTTACTAACCAATGGTGGTTGGGCGGCAAATTTTGGGTTTTTCATCCTTTTAAGTTCTATCAATAACTAGCCAAATTCCTGTGCTTTGGTTGGGTTGGTTCTTTATTTGAACTTTAGCAAAACTATTTTCAGGATCTTTTGCCATCTTTAAAGGTTATATCTAATCTCAACTGTTGAAGTATGGAATTTGGGCTAGGACAGTCAAAGTATGACATTTGTCATGTGACACCATTTCTCTTTTAACTGTATTCCCAGCAGGAAACTAGAGGAAACCTGCAAGAATCCTTACTTGAAATAATTTCTGTGTGGTCACTCATACAGTTAAATCTTTAGACTGCTAGTAGGTCTGGCTATCCTTCAGCATAATCAACAGTATGTTAAGTGAAGACATCAATAATAAAGTATTATCTCTTACTAATGTTCTTTCTGGCACATTCAGATTGAACAGATCATTTTATTATTTATCCAAACATTTCAGTCTGTGATAGACATAGATCCTTTTATGAGTTTTAAGGTGTTTTTTTTTTTTAATATAGAAATCTATTTTTTTTTTTTACCTTTTTCTCAAATGCCAGCTTCCCTCATTAACTCTGTACTTCAATCCATATCTGAAGGGATCCCCCTTTAAAGATGAAGATTGTTCTATCTCCAGGTACTTTTGTATTGATTACCAGTGAGGGTGGAAACTTCATGTGGTTTTTAGTTTTACAGATGTTTTGTCCAGTAAGACCTGGATTGAAATAATTTAAGTCATTGAACAAATGCCAGTTGAAACTGTTATTTTATAAAGGAGAAACTTATTTAACAATTTATTTTAAAGCTCATTTTGTAACCTTGTGTTACTTCAGTTACTCTGTGTTCCTGTAACAGTGCCTTCCCTTGCAGTCACTTTGATTTTTGTTGGAAATGAATCACGCTTTTTTTAGTAATCATTTTAATTTCACACATTAATTTTTTTAAATTTCAATTTAAGAAGTCTGTGGTGGCAAAAGTATTTTCTGTTTTATCCTATTTTAGATATTTAATGTTTTCTTAGATCATATTAAGGAATGTACATTTATGGATGGAATGTTTTTAATGGGAAAACATCCTATCATCAATTGAAAGTACTAATATCAACCAAGGTGAAAATAATGATTCTGTTGTCCTTTGAAGAACAGATATTATTTTTTATATATGTATAATAGTTTATTTTTACATCATTTTGTGCTTTTTTCCATCTCAGTTGTAACCCCTGTGGGGGATATTATTTTTTAATAACCTTTTGGACAATATGCTGTTAATTGGCTAAATAAGGTTTATTAAAAATATAATGTTAATATCAACTATTGCAATTGAAAGAATGTACAGCATCGAGGTTTATTTTCAAGCACAATATTTATTTTAGTCATCTGAGACTGTTGCAATTCTAAGCCACCTCTGCTAATTTGTCAGTTATTTAGCTGATCTCTCTCTCTCTCTTTTCTCTCTCTCTCTCTCTCTAATGATCTAAAGCACATGAAAAAGATTGTGAAAGTGGTTTTTTTTAAGTTTGGGAATTATACTCAGGATGCCTAGGTAGTTTAATCTAGACACAAAGAATATGAGAGTGAGCATTTAGGACAATTAATAAAGATGATAATTCAAAAGCACAGTTTTATCCTGTTAAAGCTCTTTGAAACACAGGCTGCTTTTACAGTTAAAACTATTAACTGTATATTAATCCAAATAATTATCAGTCTATTAACTTACAGAATTAATATTTTTAGCAGTTCTCTTTATTAGTAAAGCTGAGTCAACATAAGAGGTTTCATATTACAATTGCAGAAATCAGAATTACTGTATCAGACTTCAAAAATTCCACACGACCATATAATATATTTTTAATTTCCAGGGTTTTTTAATTCAGCATAACTAATATATAGAATTTAAATGAAATCACTTTAGAAAGCTTGATTTTATTCTTGGTAAATAAATTACCTGTACTGTATATACACATCTGTTTATAACCATAATAAAATGAGATTAAGTTAGAACAGAGTGTGTGTTTGTTTAAACCATCATGATAGAAGTTGTAGAATAATTTCTGCTTTTTGGGGTCTGGAGTCTCTCATGAGTTTAAACAGGGTGTTATGGGAAGAAATTATCTTGTTTTAACACCATGTTTAACATTACACCTTGTCTCACCTTGACAAGTTGGTGTTGGTATTAGGAGACCTGCACATCCCGCATCGGTGCAACAGTTTGCCGGCTAAATTCAAAAAACTGCTGGTGCCAGGAAAAATTCAGCACATTCTCTGCACTGGAAACCTTTGCACCAAAGAGAGTTATGACTATCTCAAGACTCTGGCTGGTGATGTTCACATCGTGAGAGGAGACTTTGATGAGGTGATGTACTTCTTTCTCCTCCCTGTATATTTCTTTCTGGATTCTTTTATATACAAGTGTTATCCTTAAGTCAGAGTTTCTCAACTATTAAGGTGGGTTTTTTTTTTTTTAATTCTCTAGATACAAACTTACTATGCATTACTACTCTTGCCTTTTTTTTTGAAGGGGTTTTAGATTATTTAATTAACATTAACTACATGTTCTAACTAAGTTGACAGAGAGTAAAAGTGATTTTTTTGCAGTGCTATAATTTCGTTTATCAAGTTTTGGTATGAGCTTCTCACTGCCACCACCTTGACTACCCTGTTCAAGCCACCATATCACTTTGCTATATTCCAGCTGTTTAATTCTGTCCTTCCTTTATCACTCCAGCTTGTTTTTGCAGTTTGCAATCAGATGATCCTTTTTAGGAGACAAAGTTTACATGTCTGCTCTGCTAGAAGCCCTCCCATGGCTTCCTATCTCAAGGGTTAACTGTAAAAGGGCATAAAGAACTTTTGAGGAGTTATTTTATAATTTGATTATGACAGTGCTTATATGACTGTTTGTATGTTAAAAAGCATAATTTTACTGTATATAAATTATACCTCAATAAACCTGATAATGGAAAATTAAGCTAGTCATTCTGGAGTGCCAAATTTTCCTATTAGTTAATAATGAGATTTTAAGTGCACTACATCTTTGTTCTAGCCTGTGTTAAATAAATCCAAACCCCTATCGTTGCCAACTTTATATGATTTTAGTATGATAAATTTGACTCCAATATGAAAAAGTATATTTTGCATTTTTGCCAGAATAATCTTTTCCATAATTATTTTATTGGTATTCTTTAATGAGGTCCCTTTATACCAGTTGCTCTCTCTCATCGTTCTCATATATTCTCTCCCACAGTAGAGTTAAAAAAGAGTTTGGATAAGCTAGAGGGACATAAAGGTAGAGGATAGGGGAATGAGAAACGAAGGGACAAACTTATCAATCGTCCTGGTTTACTAAAAGCATTCGGAGTTCTCTTTATGTAATGATAGCTTCATTAGCAAGAATTAAAATTGTTTGCTTCCATTTGCTAAATTCACAGACCTTGGAATTATACTACTAGGGTTTGTTTCTTGGCTCAGCCATTTAGTAGATTATAACCTTGGACAGCTCTTTTGTTTCCTCATCTGTAAACTGAGGCTTAATAATAGAAATCTACCTCTTGGAATTGTTTGTAAATATTAAATGTGTTTAAAGCAGTTAGAATAATATATGGTTTGTACTTAAGTGCTGGATGTCAGCTTTCATTATTGCTCCAAGCCATCTATAGAATTCTCAAAGCTTGGGACATAATTTGAACACACCCTAGCTTATAGACCATATGCCTAGGTTCCTTAGGTAGAGGAAAATTACAAATTTGGGGGAACAGCTATTCCCTACAGCTGACTTAGAACACAGTTCTATAAAAATAAACATAGTAAAGGAATTACATGATATATTTCAGTGTACCTAGAATAAGTTATATTTTGAGCATAGTTGCAGCTGCAGAGATTGAGGAGTAACCAAATGTCTTATAAATGTATTTGCTTGGGGGCACTGCATCAAAATGTCCATATGAGGTTGAGTCTTTAAGCAGGTGGCTTTTAGACATCAGTATCTCTAAAATGTAATTTTGTCTGTTTCTTATTTTAGAATCTGAATTATCCGGAACAGAAAGTTGTGACTGTTGGGCAGTTCAAAATCGGTTTGATCCATGGACACCAAGTCATCCCCTGGGGAGACATGGCCAGCTTGGCCCTGTTGCAGAGGCAGTTTGATGTGGACATTCTTATCTCGGGACACACACACAAATTTGAAGCATTTGAGCATGAAAATAAATTTTATATTAACCCCGGTTCCGCCACTGGAGCATATAATGCCTTGGAAACGTGAGTGTGCGGTTTGGGAACTTGGGGGTTTTATTTAAAGTTAATAATTGCATGCATGACATTTCATAAGTGCAATCAGTCATTGAAATAATGTGGCCTTTTGGGGCAGCCTTCTGTTTGTTCTTTTTAATATGTACCAACCAGATTTCTGTTTGAATTTAAATTGAAATTTTATAGTGCCATTGCCCTCTAGCTCAAAATACTGACAGTATTTTATATTTTTTTTTTCCAGAAACATTATTCCTTCTTTTGTGTTGATGGATATCCAGGCTTCTACAGTTGTCACTTACGTGTATCAACTAATTGGAGATGATGTGAAAGTAGAACGAATTGAATACAAAAAATCTTAAAACAGGCCTGTTCTGATGATTTTTGTTGTTGTTCTTTTCATTCCCCTGTTCAAATCAAGTAATTAAACATTTAAGAGCCACAAAATTGTATCACTTTTATAATATTTTGCAGTAAAATATTCATCTTCTGTTAATACAGTGCTCTAAGCTTCTTGTAAACTATAAGAATATATTTAGTGTATGTATATGATTTCTATGAAAAGATGTCCACCACACAGTAATGGTCACGTGTTATGAAAAATTTATCCTTGTAAATATCTTCAAAGTTGATACTTGGGACTTTATTACAAAAGTAGTGCATGGGGAGGAAGATTCTAGACCTTCTTGTACACATTTTCCTCTTCTCCAATAATAAAGTTACCTTTCATTTATACTTTCTTGATAAACTTTTTTTTACAAACCATAAAAGTAAAAAAACAATTGAAATTGGACACATGTTAAAGGGATGAAGTAGATGAGGTGAGCTTTGAGAGCTCATTTCTTAACAGCATCCTGAGTCATAATGTTGGGCTCATTTCCTAAATACTTTTAAATAAATCAACTTTACTGATACTAAATCAGTAATGATTCTTCATGCTGTTGCATTAAATCCCCCTACTCCTATTTGTCAAATTGGACAAAAGTGTTTTTAAAACACAAATGTATTTAGAAGGGAAGTACACTAAAGTGATTATATAAAGAATCCTCTCACGAGTAGAAAACTTCCCAACTTAAATCTGAGTGTCTTAAGTGTTAGGTGGAAATTTTCATGAAACAGGTCAAATTATTAGTGGCCCTCCCTGGTGGCGCGGGAGTGCAGCACTGAAAAGCTAAGGCCACTTCTGCATGAGTTTGATCCCCACCTGCCCCGCAGGTGACCACATGGCGCGGCAGACCTCTCCTGACCCGCCTGCTGCTCCCCTCAGCAGTGTGCTTTGTCGATCTGCCTGTTCTGCTCCCTGGTCTGTCTCTGGTGAATCCTCTCACCCTCCACATCTCTGGCCTGTACCCCAGTTTTGTATGAATAAATAAATCTTTAAAAAAAAAACAAAACAGGGCAAATTAGTATTTCTATTTTTAAGCTCTATTAAGCAGTGAGCATCTACTTTGCAAGCCTGTGTGTTATCTCCACCAAATGCTACTCAGTATCAGAATATTTCAGTTTTCTTTAGCCCTATCAAGAAAATACTTGCAGAATATCCTAATACTGCAATTCTAGAACTTACTGTAAACAGGAAAGAAGTATTTGTCAGATTTAAAGAAAAATAACTCAATTTTAAATGACAAAAATTTTAATCGTATCTCTAGAAATACAAGCATACAAATTTTATCACACAAATATTGGGTATGTGGAACTACATCAAACCTACTAACTACACTTGTGAAAGTTTCTGAACAAACCAAAATTACTTAATGATGAATAATAACACTATGTTAAATGTGGAGAGGGGATACATACAATTCACAGCCCTTACCAACCACCTTTGGCACATCATTAATATACAAAATAAGAACTGTCAAGTTAACATCAGATGTTCTCCATTTTCTTCAATTGACATTGATTGCATATACTTATTTAGTAAATCTTCCTCCTTTTTTTCTTCATTCATGTATGGCTCAGAATCATTTGTAGAAACTAAAGGAAAAAGAAGAGTTTATAAGGACTATTTTGAAAAGCTGTATTTCATCCTGAAAACAGGTTTGTATATAAGAACCTTTAAAATGACTACCTCATTAATTAGCCTTTAACAAAAACAAAATGCCTGGAATATCCAAAACTTAATCACCTCTCCCTCCTCCCAATCTCTTATTAAAGAATATAGTACTATATTCTAGGCAAGTAACTATAGTAAATTCTCTTTTACCTTTGCTTTCAAAATCTTGCTTTGGGGGACATTAAAGTGGTCAGTTACAGTTTCAGCACTCTCCATTTGCCTTTTGTTCCTTCATGTCTCTTCTGAGGACTGAAGGGACTTGCCCCTACATATGTTTTTCTCCAACTCTGGAATAAGACTGACCTCCTCCCCTCCCAGGGCCCTGCATTTCTTGGGTGGGCACAATATGTTATTTCCTGGGCTGTGTGGTGCTGCCAAAGCAAATGCGTGGACCGGGGCTCAGAAGGCCTGATTACCTTCCTGGGAGTCATTTCACTTCCACTTAGTCCCTATGGCTTTGTCAATTCTGAGGAATAATCCTGAGCATTTAGGATGATGAGTCTCTCTTCCTCTTGCTTTTTTTTTATTTTGTGATGTACTATATTTGTAGAAGCATTCTTTATGCTGATCCCAAGATTGAACTTTCTGAGTTACTCTAAATTTTGCTATCACCTGGTAAAAAAGTTATGTTTGTGGCTCTGGGTTCACTGTTGAGTTCCTGACTTTGAATCTTACCCCACTGAGTGGCGTGTTCTACATGAACAAAGAAACATATTTCATGCTTAGTGGTTGGAACAATAAAAGCCAGTCACAAAGTTATTAATGTCATGTAATGAAAACAAAACTGCCTTAGTATTTTATAAGCCTAAGGTCTTTAAAAATGCACATGTAAAGGGTCCTTCCTGGTGGTGCAAGGGATTAAAGTACAGCACCAGGAGACTATCTGCAGTCACTGCAGCAGGGGTTTGACCCCTGGCATATCAGACCTCTTGTCTTGCCTGCTGCTCCCATCAGCAGTGTATTTATTTCTGCCAATCTGCCTGTTCTGCCCCCATTCTGTATCTGGTGAATCCTCTCACCCCGGCACTTGTGGCCTGGACCCCAGTTTTTGTATGCATAAAGAAATCTTTTAAAAAATGCACCTGTGAAAAATTCCACATTTACCTGATTGCATGAACATTCTATCTGGTTTTCTAAAAATCTTCAGTGACTTACATCTTGTTTTTGATGCATATCCAGTTTTTAAACTATAAGAAAAGGAAGTATCTTAATTAGAGTTACAAAATGAGCAGTTGCCTAATGCATGTGGAAGGCCGTACAAATTCTTTTTACTAAGCTGCCTCAAAAGCCTTATCTTTCAGCCCCTGAGTTCTCTTGTGACTCATTAACCCTGAAATACAGAGCTAACTACTGTAGCACAGGTTGAATAATCAGCCTTCTTAGTCTTTTATTCTCTTACAGCATTCCCTTGTGTAGAAGCAAGCACATACTTTTTAGAAATGTTTGTATTCTGGATTTGGGGAAAGGTAGTCTTTCATATCTTTAATTGATGAAAATATTTAACAATTTCAGAAAATATATTCTAAAAGATATGACATAGTTCAGTAAAGTGACTATGTGATAACATCCTTTAGTACTTTTTGTCTAACTTAACTCTGAATTTAGCAAAATGAATATATTAGGGAAAGCAAACATTAGCTACCCTGCAAATAAAACTGGAGTATATGCCTCCTTTTGAACAACAGGAAACCGACCTTTCTTTGTTTCTCACTGGACTCCAAAGGGAATGTTCTCTGATCATTTCAGGTGCAGATATAGCTGCCATATTAGAAGGTTCTGAGTCCTCTCTCTCCAGTTGATGTCGCCATGTAGTGCAGGGATAATGCTGCTTCTGTAAGTAACGAGCGCTGAGACGGCTCCTATGTTGTGTGAGTACACCTGTCATATAAAGCACCTCTGTTAGAAGACTCTCTTGTGAGAACTAGTGGAAAACTAACCTGAGGTGCACCTGCCTGGCTTTTGTGAGCTGCGCTGGATCACATGCATGTATTGTCTCTTCATTAACATCCGCAGATAGTTTGCATTATAGATCTTAGCAAAGCTGCACAGATAACGCTTCTGGCCTGTGGTGAGGTCTGGATGCTACAAGACGGAACAAGATACATAGGCTGCATTGCAGAAGAGATGGGCAGTGTGCTTTATCTGAGTGTTCAGGATGGTTGTACCATCTATATATTTTGCTTATGCAAATTCAACTGTATTAAATTGGCCAGAAAGAGAAAGCAATGCCGTTTAAACTGTAAGTGACTGCACACCATTTTCACTCCAGTGATTCAGATACTAGGTTGAGAACCCCTACCCTAGATTACAGAATGCATGACTCTTCTGTCAGCAAATCTTAGTTCCCTATATGCCACTCAGGAAGTATTTTGCCTTCTGAATATGATTTTTGAGGCATAACATGGTACCCAAAAGCAACCCAAATATTCTTAGTGTTAACCAAAAACAAGTCTTCTAGCACCAGTAAAATAACTGACTGTGTTGGATAGACTGAAGGATACAGTCAGTTGGTCACTGATACAATTTTAACTAGTATTTTTAACTACTTGCTGGCTTTAAATGTATTTCTTTCTTTTTAAAGATTATTTATGCATATAAGAAGTGGGTACAGGCCAGAGGTGGGGGGGAGGTGAGAGGATTCACCAGCAGAATAGGCAGATGGACTGAAATACACTGCTGAGGGGAGCAGCAGGTGAGGCAGGAGAGGTCTGTTGTGCCATGAGGGTCAGCTCCCTGGCCGGGATTGGACTTATGCTGCAGTGGTTGCAGACAGCTTCACGACGCTACGCTTTGACCCATGTGCCACCAAGAAGGCCCTAACTGGCTTTAAATTTACAAGTTAGTGCTCACCTGTGATACGAGACTTTACTATAGATGCATGTGTATATACACACAGGAGCTAATCAACTGAATAGGTAGTAAGTGCACAGAAAATTCAGTATGTTGAGTAGAAAACTTGACCAGATTGTGTACCTCCCTGGTGGCCTAGGGGTTAAGTCTCCGCGCTCTCACCCACGAGTGGCGCAGCAGACCTCTCCCCTCAGCAGTGTATCTCAGTGGATCGGCCTATTCTGCTCCCTACTCTGTCTCTGGTGAAGCCTCTCATCCTCCGTACATCTGGTCTACACTCCAGTTTTTCTATGCAAAAAAGAAAAGAAAAATGGATCAGATTGCCAAATCTTAAGTAAGCCTAGAATCTGCTTTGCACTAGAGGGGACAATGTGGGCAGCTGCGATCTGTAATAGGCGATGCGCTTCAATAGTGGTGAGACTTACTTGCTTCTACTCGTGTGACCCTTGAGCAAAGCCTTTCCATTCCTAGCATGGAGCTCTTCTCAAACATCCTGTGCTTGGGGCATTGAGGTTCCCGAGTAAAGGCACATTAGATCTGAAGTGCCACAGAAGGCTTCGGAGAGCATTCTTATGGTAGAGGACTCTGCAGTGATGCCCTAATACTCACGAGCCTACCGAGCAGTTATTTCTGGGCCCTACACAACTCTGGTGTGCTTTGTCTTCCACAGTAAGTAGTTTTACCCTCAAGAAAAAATTCATATGTGAGTGCAAAGAGGGTATTTAAATAAAGTATTGGCAGTTGATTACCATACCTTTAGAAAGGACATATCTGTCATTGATTTAGGGATGTGAACTGTTTGAATTTGAGGAGTTTTCCATAACTCTTGCAACTTGGCAACATGAGCGTTCACTTTGTGTCCATCTTTGATTCTATCTGTAGGTAAGGACATTATTATGTGAATGTTAGGAGCAAAGATCAGCTGACTATGAAGATCTGTATATTTAGATGGCAGCGATTATCCCCGGTTAGTAGGAGTTAGATTACATGACAGGCTGTTTGATTTTAGATCATAAAATTTAAGATATCCATATTTACTATCTATATGTATCATTATTATACATGGACTACATTATTTTTAACCCAGTTGTGATGCAAACTTTTTTTCTGAGACTTGATAGTAACCTACTATTTTCATTTATTGTAGGTCAGACTACACAAGAATATACATGCAGATTTATACTTTAAGGATTTATAGAAATATTTTTACTATTACTATTAAATTCTGTTCTGATTTAGACTTAAGAAAAACACAAAATTTATCCCTTTAATGAGGCAGTGTAAGAATGAGGGACTTTGCAGAAATTTATTCTTCTTCTGGGTATAAACCCAAAGGAACTGGTAGAAGAATGGATAAACAAAATGGGCCTAAACTGATGTATTAAATTAAAAATATGCAAATTTGCCTGTTGACCGAGGGGCACACGCCACCCATTAGGGTCAGCAGGTAGCACCCTCATTACCCAAACATAGCCTCACAAAGGATAATCACAAGAATTATTATTTACAAATCCCAGAAATGGGACGGGGCACATTCACAATGAGTCAGTGGGAAGACAGTCTTCTTCCATCCCAGGGCTCCAGGAAAGCAGGAGATAGAGCAGGAATGAACCCTGTTACATCAGGGTTCACTGATCATGCAGTTATCAGTGTGAACTCAGTGAGTTTTAATATACATATTAGGAGGGTTACAGAAATGGATATGGATGCATGGAGATGTGTGTATTCAAATGCAAATACAGTCACATGTTTCATTTTCTGCTCTGTCCTCTGTGAGAGACCCTAAGCAATAACTCATTACTAATGAATGCAGATAAAATCCAGATCTTGGTTTCTAAACACTATACTATTCTCCATTTTAAAAAGAGGTAAGACAACTATATTGGCTTAAACCAATGTCTACTTTTTTTCTTACTGTTCTGAGTCAGCTGGCTTCTCTGCTTAGTCTCACAAATGAAATGGAGGTGTCAGTTTGCCTAGCCTTTTGTCTGGAGACTGGAGAAGCTGATTCCTGGCTCATTCATATTGGCAGAAATTAACTTCTTGCATATACAGGAAAGAAGTTGCAGCCTCCTGATAGCTCTTCATCTTGTCTCTTCAAGTCAACAATAAGGCATTCAGGTCTTTCCACAGTTCACATCTGTCTAGTTTCCTTGTTGCCTGCATCTTTCTAGAGCTAGCCAGAGAAAATGCTTTGCATTCATGTGGTCAGGTAGGCTCATCCAGAAAATTCAGTATACTATTTCTTTTGTAAGGGCCATAATGTAATTATCTCTGCCAAGGCCCTTTTGCCGTACCACATAACTTATTTTCAGGCTCCAGTGATTAAGGCGCAGATATCTTTGGGGGACCACCCTACTTACCACAGGCTACTTGGAGAAAGTCACCTCCAAGGCAAAGGACAGATATAGTACAACAATTTGTGCCAAGACAGTGGCTGGGCTCTTTGAGGAGTAGAAATACCATGACTAAGGCTATGTAAACCCTCTCAGATGGCCACCTCACAAGGAAACTACTGGGCCTTGTTCAGCAACCATGTTAACTACTGAACAGCCTCAGAAAGGAACCAGTGAGGCCACCAAAACTCTCATGAGACATCTGGGTTCATTATGGTGGCTGCAGACACTGCTGAGCCCCCAGAGCTCATCCTGTACCTCCAGTTGCTAGGGGAAGACAAGTAGATGCCCTGCATGTCTGTGTGCTCCAAGGAGGCCTGGAACAAGCCTGTCACATTCAAAGAAGTCTCACAGCTCCCACACCACTTTCCCAAATCTCCTTTTATGCCCTCTTTCTACCATCCTATTTTTCCTTTTGAGAAGTGAATGAATGCCCAGAGTAGATGGAAAATTCAAGGCAGCAAGAGCTAGGAGCAAGCTCTGGGCCCAACTGTCAGGCCCAACTTCCCGCTGTGCGTGCTGGGCACACTTTCCAGGGCACCCCTTGCACGTGGCAGGCAGGATCATTTCCTAGGTGTCTATATTTGAGGGACTTATGTATTATTGGGAAAGCTGCTAGGTTATGTCCAAGGGTCACTAATGCCTCCCTGCTTTTTATTTTGGTAATGTGATAATTCTGTGTTTTTTGGGGGGGAGGGTGGGCTGGGGAGGGGTAGCAGAATACCAAAGAGAGTGCCCTAACGTGGCCTGGGCAAGTGGGGAGTTTATCTAGGTCTTGAAAGAATGTGGAGAGGCAAGGGTCAGAGGTGCTGGAATGAAGGATTTTGGGAAAATGTGGAGAACTGACTGGATGCCACAGTAGAGATGATGGAACCCGAGAAAAAAGCCTCTTTGGTGAAGGGAGATTTCTTCGTAGATGCTTGGTACTAGCCATGAGCCTTTATCCTGTTCCTGTCATGATGTGGGTTAGATGTATGACTCTTATCACATCAGAAGAACAGTGTTAAGCATCTTATGAGAATCCTTGTAAAGAAATATATTCATACCCCAACTTTTTTTTGTAGCAAAAAGTAAGACAATGCTCAATGGAGAATGGGTGCAAATTAAAAGGGCACAGGAATCACCTCCAAAAGGTTTCCACTGGCTAACTTTGGGATAATCTGAGCCTCAAAAGAAATAATGATATTCAGGGATTCAAGTTACTGAATAAAATAAGAATTCATGAGTTCACACTGATACAAATATGTAAGTAAATGGCAGAGAAAGGAATGCTCTTTATAATAGGAAGCCAACTTAAGACTGCAGAATGAATGACAGGATTAGAAAAATCACCTATTTCTAGGTATCGTCATAATAACTGATTTAGTTAGAAACATTTTATGTTCTTTAAATCTATTCAATTTAGAATTTCCCCCCTTCAACCTGTGTATAAACCTAAGGCTATGCTCAGTGTTTTTCAAACACCAGTTATAAATGCAGTTCTTTTCAGGATCATTGCTATTCTGAAATAGTCTTTAAAAAAAAAAACTACTTGATATGAGATAAATTACCAGGAAAGAAAGAACCTCCTAGATTGTTCTTTGGAATCTTAAAAAAGCTAAGTTCACCCAGGATGCTAATAAAGTCTATTTTTAAAACTTCATTGTATAAGTATTTATAGCAAAAGTGGCTTCTCTGAGCATGTTATTTATACATATAATCGGCCTTATAAGCTCTACTTACCAGTACCTTTAGAATTCTGGTAATAAGAATGTCCAAGTGATCTGTTAAAAAAATATTTAAGTAATATGTAATAATTGACAGTTTTATAAGCAGTAAAGAAAATATTAAATTTAAAAGGACAGAATTGTATATGCTTTTTTATTTCTCATGCTTCCATGGGACAGAATATTTTACGAGTTATCCTAATTCTGGTTATAAATAACTGTTCAAAGTGAATATGAGACTTTTGTACCATGCTAGTAAGGATTTTCTTAAGTCATTTTTGGTCTTACTTTGATAGCCTCCTACTCAAATTCACACAATTAACTGTATAATATTTTGGGCTCCCAAGCCATCCATATTTTCTTGCTTTTTACTGTTGATTAAGTTATTTGGGCATGGGAAAGACTATCTTGCTCTTTATTGGACATAAGTAAGCTGCTGGAACTGGTAAGTTGGTCTGCAGTGTGTTTAATTTTGAACCAGGCCGTTTTTCTTCTCTCAATTAAAATGAAACATTCTCCCTTCTTCCTGCAGTTTATTCAGAGACCAAGAAGTCAACCATCTCCAATCAAGATCCTGCGCCTCTTGCACTTTCGGGAATCAGGATGTAAAGAAACACATGACTCCACCCCATATTAAGAAGTTTCAATCCACCAGTAACACATAATAATAATAATAACAATAATAATAATAATAACAATAATAAAGAGGTCCTGGGCGCAGCAGGATTGTGAGCTGACTCTGCAGAGGGAGCGCCTGGCAGCACTCACTTTTAGGGAGTCACCACAGTAGGAGATGGGGGTACCACCTCCAGGACTTCAGCGAGTCATGGTCTTGAGCACCCAGGACATAAGAATAAAACCCGCTCGAAACGAAATGGTAAACGTTTATGGGGCCCTTCTAGGTGCACAGTGGGCTAAAGCAGGGCCCTGTGAAGCTGTCACAGACACTGCAGGGCCAGTTCACCCCCGCCGCCCGGAGGTGACCCCAGGGCGCCGCAGGCCTCTCCTGGCCCGCCCGCTGCTCCCCGCTCTGGCTCTGGGGAAGCCTCTCGCCTCTGGTCAGTACCCCAGTTCTCTTAGCATAATAAAAACTATCTACATATATTTTAAAGAAATGGGCTTCTGACGGAAGGAGCTCCCGCGCGCAGGAAGGTCAAGCTCAGGCGTCTCAACAGTCACAGCGGCCCGTGTCCAGGAGATGACGGCGCCACCGCGCGCC